TGCGACGCAGTTCCCAATAAAGCTATGAAGTTACACTCTTCAAATACAACTGGTTCATCCTTCGTAGTTTCGCATTAAATAGAATAATCCTTTCCTACATCTCCTTAGGGTACGACCATTTAGCCATGAGGATCCTGGGCAAACTAGGGGGCCGGAGCAAAAGTGCACTAAGGGAGCATCAGCAACTTGCCTATGTCCACCCCTCGTCGACGGGTACTGCAATAACTCCTTAGATCTTGCCGCACCCACAACTGCAATTTACGTGCCCAAGCAGGGCTCCCCTTGAGGGCCCTCTTCAACTGCAGTCAAAGGGACAACGTGACGAGCTTTTTCGAGCACATGTTCACCACGTCACACTTTAGCCTCTCCGCTGTCCCGCATCCACCATTAATATGACCCTTAAAACCAGCGCGCATTCTGCTTTAAAAGATCCGGAGGGCATTTGCCTAAACTGTCCGTTACCCGTGGAGTTTTATGTCGACCAAGCTGTCCTCGTGGCGTACGAACTTGTTGCTCGCATCAGCGTAGACTCCGAGACAGCCTCTATCTTTTATTCCCGTAACGGAACTCCTTAGAATGCATTCGCTCGTTATTACCCAATACCTTTTGTACCAGAGTTAAACCATGTGCTTCCTTCGAGAACTGGGGTTAAAGAGGCTAGATTGGTTGATCAGGACATGTTACGATTTTGCAACCTCGAACATCTTCTGCACTACCAAAAGCAAGCAATTTACTTCGCGAAGGCATGCGTTTTGACTTTCATGAAGCGAATGACCGGCACGTAAGCCCCTCCCACATTCACATTGTTTCTATAAACTCTTCTTCCTGCCATCGTGAGGACTGAGCTGGATAATATAAAAACTGTTCTCCTGACTCCTCGTGCTCATGCCTCTGGGCTTAGCAATACATTGACGGGAGTAAATCATACTGAGGTGCTCCTTTTTCTTTGGTTCTTTTTCTTTCAATATTTTTACTACTTGACAGGCACCTGACGCTGTTAGCAAAGTTACCAACCGTCAATGCTTTATACTCTCCCGCGCTTTAATGGTCGTGTGCTTATCGCCGACGGTCGAAGTTATGTTGGGGCAGGCATTGGAGCCGTTCATCGAAGGCGTCGTCCGCCATTTTGCCATTAATATAGCTGTAAATTATAAACTCTGCGGGGAGCGAGACGAAGAAATCGGAACTTTTCATCTCCCTGAGATGTCTGGTCTGTCCGCTCAGATTGGTCAACCACAGACCTCTCAATCTCGGGCACACTACCAGTACCTTCAAAATTTAGCGGCTGTCCTGCAAGAGTCCTTTTTCGGTAGAGCCAAATTTATTTCGTTATGCTCTCATTACTGTCTTTGCATAATAGAATCCCCTTCCCCGGCCCAATCGCTTTTTGCTGATGTTTTAGAGGCCCTTTTTACGGAGAATGAGCAATTGGAGTATGTCCCTATTGGAGAGGCACTCTACCCCACTCACACCGCTACTCAATGACTGGCGGCTAAACCTGTTTTCATGTCGCAGGCATTACTCTTAAAGTTTATTAGTTACGTTAAAAAGCTTCTCGGAGAGGACGACTACGGAAGCATGGACTTCTTCTCTTACTTGCTCAAACGCTTAGCGCTTTGTTGCTACGGTTTAGATTCCGTGCATCCCACATAGTTTTCTTGCTCGGCTTATTTTTAGCCTTCAGCTAGCGAGTGGCATAAGAAGCTTGGAAGCTGTAAAATCATTCGCCTACTCGTTAGTTTGATGCCAAAGCGGTTCCTCCGGCTTCACATCCACCTTTTAATGCGGGCTCTCTTTTTTTCCCTCAAAGATGTTGAAGATGAACTTTTAAAAAATGTGGAAGAGGAAATCAACGTCACTGTTGACTACGTGTGGAAGATCTTCTTGTCCATTGGTCTTGCGGAGTCAAAATCACGTGTACTACAACTCATAAAAATTTGGTAGGTTCGCCTTTTGTCGAAGACAGTCAAGATGGCCTGGGCAAGGACAAATTGGGGCCCTTTATGATTTCCCAGCTGTCCTCCAGTAGCGAGTCCGTCCGTCTGCATGCCCAAAAGCTGCTGTTATCTCTCGACTCGAATATTTTAAAAGTTTTTATTAATTTGTTGCCTTTGCTCTTTCGTCCAACCGTTAGTATACTTTAGACTCTTTTTAGTCAAAATCAAGGTGCGCTTAGAGCTCTTTTAGCACCCCGCGTGTCTCTGCTTGCTTTGTTTGCTGAACAGCAAATTAGCCACTGCGCTGCTGTGAGCTTCTGTCTTTCCTTGCAGCCCAGTCCCTTTCGGTTTGCGAACCTCAACTCTTCACAGTAAAATATCTTTTTCTTATTCTCTATGCTGCTGGAATTCTCCTAAGCTGCTAATGCCTTTACGAGGGACGCTTTCTCCGAAGCAGAGAAGAGCTCCATCGTTTTTTTAAACGAGAGCGAGCGCGAGGAATTTTTCCGGGTTGTCTTTGAGGTCCTCGACATGTGTGCGAAAGACTCACGTCTACTGCTTCCCTTCGAGGATCCCAGCAAAGCTCTCGACTTCGAGAGTTCTTTCAACTTATATGTTCGCTGTATTTTCTTCTTACTTTTGTTTATAGTTGTTGAGCGTTTGTGGAAAAGTCGCATTAACTTCCTATCAGCTGCTGTGCTCTCCACTCTCCACGAGCATGGCGAAGCAAAATTGGAAGAAGCGAAACGACAAACTTTAACTATTTTTTTCAAAGTTTTGTTATGTCCCAACGCCGATATAGCAGCTTATGTCATGGAACCTTTAAAGAATATTGTTGCTAGTTTACCGGATGCCTCTTTTATAGAAGTATATTTTTTGGAGGTTATTTGGGTTAAACAAGGATCGTTTTGAAAATAGAGCTCTTTTGCCACTTATGAAGCAAAATTACATGAGTATTTTGGCCAAGTTCCAGAGCTCCCCCCTCAATCCTTCTTTAATGAGATATTTAAAGTTTTAAGCGTCTGTAGCAGTGCCAACTTTTTTATAGTAAGCAGCAGCGAGCCTTACTATTAGTATAGTTCTGACCCGAGTTACTTTGCTCGCGTAGACCGACACCCTCCTGGAATACTTAAAGTTAATAGACTCTGCATTGCCTTCTACTGTAGAGGTAGGCTGCCAGCCTCCATGTTGCACTCTTTATGCCTTTATATTTTGGGCACCAGCCCGCTCAGCTGGAACTCGTCTGCTCACTCCTCCATTTACTCGGGATAGTTAACCTTCGCGTAGATACCGAAGCTGTAAGCCCTACTTTTTTTAACTTTATGCAGTAAGTTCCTTTTCCATTACTCGCGTTACACGCGCACAGTGCCCGGCACAAGCGCTGGTGACTGCTGTGCTGCAAAAGACGCTTTCCATTGAACGAAAGGCTGGATTCTACTTGCACAGTCCGCTTCGAGCTCCCCTCTTTAAGTTTCTTGATCGGTCTGCTTTTGTGTTAATGCACTCTATGTTCCATGTTGATTCCTCCGCGACAGGTTCCCAGCCGAAGTGTTGTTGTTACTTTTATCTTCTCTAGAGCATGAGCGACTCTCCTCTATCATATTAGTACGTTTTCTATGAACTCTCTATTAATCTATTTGCTTTCCTCACTACAATCTTATTTAGAAGTTTCTGAAAAGTGTAAATAGCCCCCACGTGCTTGACTTTTTGTGCAACAACACAGATTGGCTTATTTGTCACTTCTTATCAAACGGGCATGTGGATAACGGTCAAAAGATTCAAGGTCTATACGGCAGCCCTCCGACTGAAACATGTGCCAATGAATCGAGTGGGCCACCCCGCGCCTCCTATATCGGGCTGCATCTTTTAAAAATTCTTGTAAAGAGAAGGCCGGAATGGTTTGTGACCAACGATACTTTAATAAACCATTTGTGTGATATGTTGGCGAGTGGCGGACATTGGAGATCCAGGCTTCAGGCTCACGTGCACATTATTAGTGGTTGATATATTGCCTGTGAGTTACCTATTTTTATAGTCCGGCTCTCTGGAGGTGTTAGAGGAGACTAAGATACTTATTAAAAGTTTACTCTTCTATTGCTCCCGACGGCCTCGGGAGGATACTGTGCTCCGTATCTTCCTTGAAATCCCTTTGTATACATCCTGCTTACTATAAATACCTTTACTCACTTATGCTTTTCAGTTATTTCACGGTTAAGTCGTTGTCAAATTCTGTACTGCTTTCTGCGTTTTATAGCGGGCATTTATCCCTTGTACGTGTGCTCAATTTTTATAAGCACGGCGCTGAGTGGCTATCTGCTTTTCTCTTTTACTTAGTTTCCTGCTTATGGCCACCATAAAAAACTCATACAACTTTTTATTTCGGGGTACAATACCGGCGCCTTCTCTCAGGACCACAGCGCTCAACTCCTTCAGAAGTTAATTTCTCCGCTTCTAGCGATCTTTCTCTCTGCAGACGAAACAGGGACGCTTTTTAACGATGAGTTCGCTGCCAGTTTTGTTCATTCGTTGCTTGGCAACTGGCAGGTTTACTTTATTACTAGTCTTGTCTTTCAAATTTAAATGCCTGTCCATTAGGCCGATCAAACGGCGTCTTTGCGCATCGAAATTCTCAGAATCTTTACTTTACTGGTCAAACGAGCTTCTCCTGCTGTTTCTCCCCATCGGAAGCACATTGTCCAGTTTGCTTGGCACCACTCAAAGTGCTTTGGTATTTTTCCTGATATTATATATCTAGGCCACTGGTCGATCCTTTTTGGGGGCTTTATAGATCTCTCTGTGAGGCAATATGCTTACGTTTTGCTCTCGCACTTCATCAAATCCTATGGAGGCCCCGGAAAAATAATAAAAAGCTTTTACACGCAACTTCTCCACGCCTGTTACCCGGAAATTAAGCACATGGTCAACAAGGCCCTTGATATACTGGTCCCCACGCTTTCCACGCATTTAGGCTCTACCTGGATAATGTTGACCAAAAAGGCATTTCTATGTACATTCCGATTGCGATTGATCCAAAGACCGAATGCCATCGTTGCGCAGGTCATAATGGAGGAGGGTTTTACACTTCCTCAGCTGGCGCATGTGTGGGCCATTGTGGTTCGCCATTCCTGCTTGTTTCGAGACTACCACCGGCAGCTTGTCCCCCAGATGTTTTACTCGCTACCTCGTATTGGTCCGCTACTAGACCTGCAAAAGGCGACCTCTTCCCTTCGTCATGTGACATTCCACTTCTTCTCAGGTCTGCCTTTGAACGCCTCCTACGAAAATAGAAGGCTCGGCGTCGATATGGCAGAGCTACTTGTGGAATGGGAACTTGATTTCCATGAGGACATGCGCAGCAGGTATACACTTTCCTGTAATGTTGTGCTTTCATCGGACGTTGTTACTCTACAGAAATTCAAATGGAAGGCAAAGTCCGTCGTCGTCAACCAATAATACTGGGGAATCAAGCGCTAAAGAACATCAAATAGTAAACGCTATGATTGACCGCGTTTGTATTTACCATGGAAACATCCTCTAGGACACTGAGAAAGACCCGCCGGATCCCGAAGAGAGCGGTTCTGACTTTCGCATAGATCCGGGTTACACCAATCCTCCCCCAACACCACTTTTGTCCTGTGTTCTTACTGGCTTCATTGGAAACCAGGCATGATCTTTCTAAATTTTTTGATCCGTCTTGCGTGCCAGGTGAGCGAACCTTCCGAGCACGGAAGAGAACTGTCCCAGCGTTGTCTGACCTTGCTTGGTAGAGTCACTTGAACTGCTGCGCACCTTATCATGGTTCACTATTGTGGTCTTATTTCCTAGAGAAAACGGTGTCCAATGGTCTTTGGAAGAACTCCCTCATAAAGTTCTCCTTCTTTGAGAAAGTGGTTCTTCAATCGAATCCGGACAACATTGGCAACTGTGCGAGGTTTTGGCTTGCATACTTCTGCTCTCTTTATTCATCTAACTGTGAAGCTTCTGCAGTGTTAGTACTTCTCTCACCATCTTGCAAATAATTTTAAAGAACGAGCCGGAAGACGTCGTGGTTCAACGGCTGTGTGAGCTGAAGCACGTGCTTCCAGCCTATTTAGGGTTTAAAAACGACCTTTGCACCTCCCAATTTAGGGTGTGTGTCGCCGTCTTGTTACTAGAGGAGTGGCATACTGTCTGACCTCTTTTTTTATTGTAGTTCCTGTTGAAGATTGTATTGTCCGTCTATTCTGTCCACGGACACACCGTCTCGTCCCGCGGAAATTCAGTTTTAGGTGGGAAGCTTTTTATATTTTCCTGCTTTTTTCACATCTTTACTGCTTTTGCATTGTTTTTGTTATAGAACTGGACCAGTTTTATGAAAAACTGGAAGCTTACCTCCACAATAGACTGAACGCTGCAATACGTTTTGCTTGGAAAAATAGTGAAACAGATGCTGGGAATAGTTTGAGTCCAGAAAATGAGGGCAATAGTAATAGCCAATCTGTTAGTAATATTGATGGTAAAACCGATAGTAACCCAGAGTCTACCAGTAATACCCCTACCACTGCCACTACTACGAATACTAGTAGTTCTAATAATCCTAATACTACCGCCACCACTAATTCTACTGCGGTGGATCAAAGCCCCTTTGGAACTTTTACTCGTCGTAATAGTTTTAACGCTCCCTTCTTATATCTTTCGCACGCTCTCGTGTACCTCAAGGAGGTATTTTCTATTCCTTGACAATTCTTGGTCTCGTGAGATTACCGCTACTCTTCTCAGGTTTGGTCCTACTATCCTAGCTACGTCGACCGCTTCCTCCCCTCCCTACTAAAAGTATTGGACTTCCTCTTACACGATCGCCTAAATCCGATGGCGCCAGTCGGCTCCAGTTCTCCCAAAGCGCGCCCTGTTTCCTTTCTGTGTGTGCTGCTCTCGTTGTTATCACAACTACTCTATTTGTATGACTCATGCCTACACCTGATTGCTTACAGAGATATTGATGACTTGTTGACCGCTTTGATCGACATGCTCTCCTCCAGGAGTGGCAAACTTTCTCCCCCCGAAAAAGGTTTGTCGATGCCGCGTTATGTTATATTTCTAATCGCATTGTCCCTTTCGTGTTTAGACGCTTTTCTAAAGACGTTGCGTTCCCTCCTCCAGCAGTCCAGCAGCCCCTCGTTGGTCTCACACGTGGTCAATCAAGTCAGACGTTGGGTATTTTTTGGGCCCCGCTGCTCTTTACCTTCTTTAAATGCGCTGCTATCAAGATCACCACCACCAAGTTTACTTTGAATGAGAACACTGAGTTGATACTGGCAATGCGCTCCTTTGCTGATAACTTTCCCACCATGTGCGAGACACACAGTGCGCTTATCGAATTAATTAGAGGTAGACTTTTTGTTCGGGGTGCTTTTCTACGGTCCGTCAAGTCAAGCCTATTGGTAACAGATATCTACACGCATCCGCAGTTAAGCCGAAGCGAGTACGCATCAAGGCTGGAGCCTCTATTTATGCAGGCTTTGAAGTCTTTTATCGCTTTTATTATTATAAAAAGTATCATCACTTTTTAATCGCCAAAGGTATGAGGGAGGGGCTCTGCACTCCACGTTGTATCGGGTTTACCAAAAAGGGATTGGTGTTTCTGTGTTTCGTCGCCTCCAATACCTTTTTGAGGTCTTCATGGTTCCGCATGATGCTTATTATACTCAACTTTTTCTGATTGAGCAGGTTCAAAATTGGGCCTCTTCCGCCTCTTCTTTTTGGATCAAACACTTTGTGGCGCTTATTCTTTCTGTTCTCTCTGGGACACAAGATTTGGTCGAGCTCCTATCGAGCCGGATCGGTATCATCTGCAACCTCGTGTGCCCCGCCATATTTAGCATCAGCTGTCCAGAGCTTAATCCCATGGATGGTGCCAAAGGGGCTACATCGACGGTGCTAGGAGACTCATATAGCGGGACGCCCAGCGGTACTTTATTTGCTCGATCCTTCGCCGCTTAGTCGTCCTCAGCAAGCTGTCCCTATTTTTTAAAGGAATAGCTTCCAATGTGCTCAAGGCGCACGCGGAATGGCTGCACGAAATGGCGAATGAGAAAGCTGCATGCCTTGTGATACCCCTGATGGAGCTTTGCCAGCTCTCCTGTGTTTTGTCAGGAAACCTGTTTGAGCAGTTGTTTCCGCCACTCTTTGGCAGTTTGGGAAACGAGCAACAGCAAAGGTGGTTCGTCTTTCATTTCTACCGGACTCTTGAGCTTTACAAGTTCTGCTTCCGTTTCCCGAGTAGTCTAGTGGGCTCTTTGACCTCAATGTTTTGCCAAAAGTTTCTTGTCAAGTCCAACTCCTACGCTTTCAACCCCGCGCATACGCTGCTTAAAGCCGTTTTAAATACTCCGGGAATCTGTCTTCCGTCGTCATTGCTACGGTTTTTACTATTTTATATACTCCCTGGCTTGCTTCACTCTCAAATGCGGCACACACATTCCAGCTACTTGGCCAAGACCCACAACGCTTGGCATCTTGTTGTTGAGGAACTTCGTGGGAGATTTTTGCAGTGCAGAAGTGGGCCACCGCCTACACTGCCGAGTTTTCCGGATGATGTTAAGCTCCCTTCCCTCCCGGTTTTTGAGCTTTCTGAGAAAGTTTTGAGAGGGCACCTCCATCAGAGCCGACTTCTTGTGAAAGACGACCCCCAGGAGCTTCTGCGAGTCATTAGCGACTTGTATAAGAGGCTCAACGAATTTGATTTGTGGCACGGCTTATGGCTGTGCAACTCGGTTTATCCGGAAACTGCACTTGCCCTCTCCCTTGAGCAAAATGGTCCTCAATAGGACTCCATCACATGGTGGGCGCTGGCATAAATTCCTTTGTTTCATGAAGGCTTGTGGGACAGAGCTCAGGTTGTCTATGAGAAGGCAATGACGAAACACCGTCTGGACGAGTTTGTCAAAAATGAATTTGAGTTATGGGAAGAGCGCTGGATATTCTGCTCTAAAAACTTAGACCAATGGAACTTGCTTTTAAACTTGGGTCTTCCCCCCCTTTTCTTCTCTCCCCTCGCTTTTTTTTTAATGAATATTTATGCAGGCCAGTCGGAGGGCCTTCCTGAGCTGATTCTCGAAAGTGCGTGGAGGCTAAATGAGTGGGAAATCGAAAAGGAAACGCTTGAGATCGTGGAAGCCGTTCAGGCAGAGAGCGCCAAACTCAAGCTCTTCCGTGCTTTCTTGAGCTTCCATTGGGGGCATTCCTCCGACGTGCAACCGCTGGTCTCTCGTGGTTCGCAGTTTGGCATTGCTGAGCGTCATAACATGTGCGGACTTTATATCTGCATCAGGTCTCCAGCTCGTTTTAAATGAATGGCGGGCTCTGCCGTATATCGTCTCCAGCTCTCATGTCCCCTTGTTAGAGTTGTTCCAGCAGTACATCGAAGTGCAGGTGCTTTCTAGCCGTAATGGCATCGATTCGCATTAACTGCGCACCATTTTCTAGGAGTCTGCTCAGCTTTTGCAAACGGCGCAGTCCTATGATAGTGGAAACAGTTCGCGCATTGAAAACGACTTGAAAGTTATTTTGAACACGTGGAGAGACAGGCTTCCTGGCAAGTGGTACATACTCGCCTTGTCACGTGGCTATGACTTTACTAGGAATTTTCTTAAATAGGGACGACATTACAGTGTGGAACGACATTCTTACTTGGAGACACCACGTGTTTATGAAGCTTGCTGAAACTTTTCAGAATGTGGTTGCTCTACTCTTTATCTACTGGGCTTAGTACACGCGTTAATCTCCTTTCTGGCTTGTGGACAGCAATTTCGCTCGGAAATTAGTCCACCTTTACTCTTCTGTGGGTACCACGAAATTGCTTGGTCCATCAACCGGTTTGCACGTGTCGCCAGGAAACATCACTTACTAGACATATGCTTGAGTGCTCTTAGCAAAATCTACACGCTGCCAAACATTGAAATAGACGGTTTGTCGCATCGTGTTTTCCTTTTTCCTATAGCAGTAGCCAGTATTGGCATGATATATGTCAATCACTATTATAAATTTAATGAATTCTGCTCTCCTTCCTTGCTAATTTAAATCTCGTACATGCTATAAAATTGTAGAAGCTTTTAAAAAGTTGGTTGAGCACTCGAAGTGCTATCTCCAGTTATCAAGAGACTACCTCTCCGGCTTGGGGATCATACAGTCGACCAACTTGAATTATTTTGGTAGTAAACAAAAGTCGGTGCTCTTTACACTGAAGGTCTCGATCCACGCGGACCGAAGCCCATATGTCTCTGCATCAAATGTTTTGATACAGGGGCGCTTCCTCCACCGTTTAAACAGTCTAGAGGATGCTAATGCGGCCTTCTCCACGGCCGTCCAGCTTAACGATACCTCCGAGAAAAGCTGGTTCGCTTGGGGAGACTTCTGTTACCAGGCACGCCCTCCCAATTTTTTTTTTAATGGTGGAGATATAGCACATACTTTTTTAGCTTTTCTTGAGCAACCGGCAAACACTCTGGGGAATAAGTGCAATGAATTGCTTATTATATGCTGCACGTGCCAAGAAATCCAAGATTGCCATACCGAGGTTTGGCTAGTATTCAGCAGCCAACACTGCAAGTATAAGTAAACGAGTATGTAGGGCTCTCTGGCTGCTCAGCTATAACAACAACCAAGACGAGTCAACAACCGAAATAGTGAACCGCCCTAAAAGCCTCGCGCAGGCTTTCGAAAAGTACTGCCAGGGCATCCCTTCTTACTGCTGGCTGCCTTGGATCCCACAGTTGATAGTACTTTTTTAATATTAATACTAACATTCATGCTCCTAAGCTCTTCCGTAGATCTATCTACTACGACCGGAAGCCATGAGTGTCCTGCCCGCCATTAAAGCACTTATCCACCACCACCCGCAAGCTCTCTATTACCCTCTGCGAACACTTTTTTTGGAGGTCCTCTCCAGTCTGCAAAGGTTACCAGCCGCGTGCTCGGAGCCCTCCACGCCACAGTCGATCCAGGACTCGCAGTCGGGCACTTCAAAACCTGTCAAGACTTCTTCTCCGTCCCCACGTGTCCAACAGCTTACTGCTTCTTTGACCCTCCTTAAGCAAATGACGGGTGCCTTCTATGCTATTGTTGCGTTGGAATATTAATGTTACTAGTTTATTTTGGGCGTAGATGCCGTCAGAGCCGCCCACCCCGCTCTAATAAGCGGACTGGAAAAGATTATAGAAGAGTTCAATACCAAGTTTCGCTCTACTCCACTGGAAGATCTTTTGCGCACGACACAAGTAAATGCGCATTCCGTCCTATTCAATGTTATTCACTTTTCTTATGGCTTGAACATTCGGAGGTATTATTAACGGAGTGCCTTCAGCGAGCATTTTCTGCTGTTTTTAATGAACATTCCTCGGGAACTGAAACAGTTTCACTGAATGTCCACAAGAACTTGCGCCGCGTCAGGGATACGCTGTTTATCCCTGAACATGTGGACGTTTATTCCTATAGGGAACAGTTTGAAAAAGACTTTGGGTCGCCTCCAGAAGGCGGTCTTCCACTCGCTTATGCCATTGAAAAGCTCCGGTATACTTCATCGCCGCAATTAAGTGTTACGCTTTTATTTGGCAATTCTATGTAGCTTCTGGCATCAAATTTTGTCCCAGAAAGTGAAAAGTCTTCCCTCCTTTCAGAATCTGGACAAATTTTCTCGTTATCTTGCAGTACCCTCTTATAGTCTGTTAGTAAGCGATACCCCTGAAACGCTCTTTTGTAAGGAGTATTCCAGTAGCGAAGTGGAAGTGTTTGGATCGCATTTCCACGGCGTTCATATATCCGACTCGCAAGTCAAAATTGATCGTTTTGAGCCGCTTGTTCATCTCGTTCATAAGCACAGGTTCGCCTTCAGAGCTTATCCTTCTGTACAAGTAGTAACGTTAGTAATAGCGCATCTTCAAGAAGAATAACAGTGCGTGGAGAAGACGGCGCGTACTATCACTTTTTAACTCAGGTACCTTATTAACTTTTGGTAGTTTTCTTTTTCTTATCAGGCTAAACCTTGCTCGAGCAGAAAGTCCTTGAAGCATTACAGTTAAAACTCCTTATCCTTACTCACACACTTCTTTTTCCAGCCCTCGCCGCAAAGCCACGCTAGAGCTGAAGAAAGAATCGTCCAACTATTGCGCTTGCTGAATGTCTCCCTCAGCGAACGTAAAGAAATGAGGAAAAGGTTGCTTCTGCAAAGTGTGGGCGTGTTATTTAGTCAACTTCAGTTTTTCCCGCTGTAAAGAAACATTCAGTTCTACACGCCAAGTATGATCCCCCTTTCTTTGAGCTTCCGATTGGTCCAGGACAACGATTCCTTTATCTCCCTTGAGGATGTCTTGGCCGAGTTTTGCGAGACGGTTTTCCTTGCTATCTACATGCTTATCACGGTGGCACTAATGGAGTTACTTTAATAGATGAACAAAGATGTGGATTACCCAGTAATGCTCTGCTACAGAGAACTGTGCTCCTTGGAAAAGGGACAGGTGCGTTCTGACTCATTCTATTAACATTTTCGCTTGCACAACGATCCCTTGAAAGGAGCAGTTTAGCCCGCGGGAATTTAATCTGACCATGTTTTACAAGATTAGCCCTTCTGTAGTTCCCAATGATTTGATTACTAAAGTACTTGCCCTTCTCTGGCACTCTCTTGGCGCACCTTTCCTCCCACGTGTGCTTTGCCACAGTTTATATACAAGACCCACACCAACGAGGTGGACGCCTGGATGTTTCGAAAGTACTTTACCTGCCAGATGGCTATCATCAGCTTTATCAACTATACTATGCACATGGCCAACCGCCTGCCCTACACCATCCACTTTTCTCTTAATAACGCTAAAGTCTATTCTTCGGATCTCTACACAAGTAAACTCATGCTCGCTTTGTACACAATTTTACTTTTAAGGCGTTCCCACCCCAGTGCTCCACTGCGAAGGCATCATGGAAGTTTCCACGCCTGTGCCATTCAGACTCACACCAAACTTACAGAACTTCATAACGGAGGTGGCAACCCTTTGTTCTTTCTTTGTCTACTACCAACTCGTGTCCCTGTTGTGGCAGGAGGGGCTCCACGGGCCGTTCACTGGAGTTTTTGCGGCCCTTGCCAGTTGTTTGAGCAATCCCGAATTTAAATTCGTAGATTACCTTAATATTCTGTTTCGAGGTTTTTTCTGGTCCTTTTTATAAGTATATACAATACATTGCTGCGGTTTATAAATAGATGAAGTGCTAAATTGGTACCATTCTCAAGTGAATTCTTCAGTTTTACCCAATAATGAAACATTGATTGCCAACGTGAACTCCAACGTGAACCCTCTTATAGATCGCATACGAACGTTGATCCCTGAAAACATGAATACGGTCAAACTTTTCGTAAGACATCTTTTACAGCCTCTTGTTAGTGGCTCGGTGATTTGCATTTCCCGATAGGAGTTAAGCACTTCTGCAAATTACAGAATCACTGAACTCATTGAGAGAGCAGTGAATCCAGAGAAGTTGAGTCAGATAGACCCCACGTGGCATCCTTGGCTTTGAAGATTATCAGTCTGTGTTAGTGATTAGACCCCTCCTGCGCGTAGCTCGTAGAGGTAAAATAAACAAGCGACACGAAGCCATTGTACAGTAGTTTATTAAAAAGTTCCTTGCTATGGTTTATATTCACAATATCAAACTAAAGACGTCTCACATAATAAATGGACTAATATTATTGTATGACATCTAAACTTCTACTCTTTCTTCTTCATCGTCTTCCAGTAACAAAAGTCGCACCAAAGCATCAAGACAAACATAGTACAAATGTTTATTGATCTTTTGGTTGTGCAGCAGTTCAACAACCATGTCGCAGCCTAAAAGTAATAGTCAGACACTACGTGAAGCTACAAAGAAACCACTTTACCGGTTGTACAAGTTTTCGAACCCATAAAACTCACTAAGAGCTCGGGTAGAGCCGCGAAAAGGGCCTCCTGAGTTGGACATAACAAATAAGCAGCAGTAAACACTCGAAGAAAATCCACCTTAACACGCGGTTTAAGCTCAAGCGCGTCGTCCTCATTAGGGGGAGTAGGGGGGGAACGGGAGTCGTTAGGCCAAAAACGCTCTAATAGACTGTCCAGCCAAAGAGCTATATTATCCTCGCTGAAGGTGGACTGCATGTATACAGCGAGCTGTTTACTAAGCGATACTCCGTATGTCTGCTGAAAAACCTGGCAAAAGGTTCAAAGCTAGAATCTGCAATTTGTAAGAAATAGATGTAGCAGTACCTCTTGTAGCATATTCCAAAAATTTCTGTGCAACCACCTTTTGTTGTTGCCGAGCTCCAAAAACTTAGTAAAGTTTGTCAAAAGTACAAAAGGCTGGTCGGCGCTTCAAAAAGAAAGAGCACCTCCGCCAGCAGAGAGAACACCAATTTCAACAGTTCGCTTTCGTTTTTTAAAGGTTTCTTGTCCTTTACAGTAGGAGTGCACTTCTCTGCGGGGCCATTGCCCCCTCCCGATGCATTCTTGCGAGCGCTCTTGTTTTTTATTGCGTACAAGGCCATTGGAGAGCCGGCGCTGATAGGCAGCAGCTCTCCCATTGCCCTGCAGCGCACGGTGGCTCGAACCCGTTGTACTTCGTTGGAAATGAATCTTGCGATTGGAGCGAGCAATAAGCAGGGATTGGAACTGCTTAGAGTAGTTACTCTCTAATTCGCTCCATTTCCAGGACTTGCCTTTCTTTTTCTTGCGATGTTTTGGGACCGATAAAAGACTAACAAAATTACTTTAGCAATCACGATAAGTCAATGTAGAAAGAGGGTGTGGACGACCTGGAATATTGTCGTAAGAAACAACACCTCATCGCTGATAATTATCTGCAAAAAAGAGTTCATGCATCGGAGATGTCTCTGCTTCTTCTCTAACCACTCCTCGGGAGCGAAGGTGGTCAGTTTCAGTAAAAACTTCTGAAGAGAAACAATGAGAGGCAGAGCTCGCGCGATGTTTTAACAAAAACTGGACCGGCTTAATACAAGGAGGCAGTTCTATTTTTTTGACTTTTGGAAACTGAACTGCTAAAGCCTGCCGGAGTTGCCTGAAGCTGGAATACGATCTGGTTATTACCCAACCTGAAGTAAAGCCTACGGATGCCGTTTAGTAATGCACAAGCACTTTAGAACAGTAAGAAAGTGTTTTACAAGCACTTCTTGGGATTATCTCGATGATGTATATCACATTTCCGTAGTCCTTATTCTGTAACCCCTCAACCAAGCAGTCCACTATGGTTGCATTTAAGAGCAGAAGCCGCTCATCGTTGCCGTCCATAATGCCCATGGCTTGTAAGTTTGCAAGTTGCGCTTGAAGATCTGCCCATTTTTTCTTCAAACCTTTTACTTTTTTCTCTTATAAATGCGCGCTATCAATAAAAAAGGGAGGAGTGCGCAAAAGAAACAACCTTTACATCCCCTCGTGACTTCGGGGTCAAGATGCTCAAGTAAATGAAGCTCTTGTTCCTTTAAGAGCGCGACAGCCGCGCCCACCGGGTCGGGTGTCAAGACCGCAGACTTTCCTGAAGGAGCTAATAGTAAAGGCGACCATGGTAAAGAGCTTTTATTTATCGTGTCGGCAGTCTTCTTGACTACTGCTGCTGCGCCGCTTTCACCGTTCTTGGCTGCTTTGCTATCCATGATTTCTTTGCTCCTCGTGGTATCGTGGTCGTTAATGTTATCGCGGTTACAGGGGTTCCCAGTGTTACTCCAGATATTAGCGCTGCCGTTATGGTCTTCATAAGTAGTCTGCTGGCTATTTTCGGTGGCTGACCACGTGCGGTAGTAGTTGCTGTCGTAAAACAAAGGAAGAAAGGTGCCTTCCATTTCTGCCAGAACATATTTTTCAGCAACGTCGAATATTCCCTGAGCTAACAGTTAAATAGAAAAAAATAAAAGAACGCTGAGAATAACTATAAAAAAGTAATAGTCAAGAGCAGTACCCTTCCAATCTGCAGGAAGAGCATACAAACGTTCTTCAATGGTACACAGCAAATCCTAGAGTATGCAAAGGTGACGAGCTACATGCACCACTGTTTGAGGCACACACCCGTGGGAGACTCACTGGACATGGCGCACATGGACACAAATACTCGGTGTATATCTGAAAGGCTGCAGGAAGAAAGCTCAGGTGATAGAGGAGAAATACGCTGGAAAGAAGCGACCTTCCCTGTAAAGGATGGATATATCCACGCGGGAGATCTGCCGATTTTGGAAGTGGAGAATACTTCTCCAGAGTTCCAGATAGCTGATTAAGTACAAAGTTACTCAATACTAAATGTTACGTGGTAAACATCGTAAGCTTACTTAGTTTTTTTAATGGAAGCCAAAAAGGTCCTAAAGTAAGACAATCCTGCTGTGCTAGCGTAAAAATATTGGCAGTGCATGAAGGACGGGCTGACTAGAAAGGACTTGTCAAGTATGAGTTGAAGTGGCAAACGCGCGGGCCTGTCTCTGTTCCATTTGCAGTGCAATGGTTGGGAGCGGCGGGTGTTGTTCTTAACAGAGAACAATAATTTAATGACGTACACATAAGAAAATGAGAGGACGCCATTGGCTAACCTGAACGCGGAGTTTTATTTTGAGGTAAACATCGGAGTTTTCGCCGCTGCAGGCCGCCAATAGAGGGGGTATAACAGTGTGACTGCAAATAAATCACTTGAGGGAAGGTGCAACGAACGAAAAACAGTGACTGTGGCTAACATTTTCTCTTCGCTCCTTTCGTCCCACTCCACGCTGTCAGTGTTCAAGTGGTCCATTACAAGGACAACAGATCCAATGACGAGTGCTGTGCAAGATCTTCGCATAAGATCATTGCTTAGATTTAGAAAGCACAGGACCTTTTTGGTAAATGGTCCACTCATAGACTTCGATGTTCAGCACCGACTCGAGTATATTGTCCACTCGAAACAAAAACTTTTCCTCAAACAAAATTTGTTTCCACGTCGGAAGCTTCAACGTAGATAATTTCGACTCTGTAGCACAAAAAATAAGAGCGAGCACACCAGTCGAAAGTAATGTACCGTGCCTAAACTTCCCTTTCCTGAGAGACTGACGGTGCAGTAAGCATAAGTCAGCTCCTCTTTGCTCCTGCGGAGGCCAGTAAGCTCTTTCAGGCACACCTGCGTTGTAAAACGGTAACCACTGCCTCCCCCTCGCGTCGAGGGGTATATGGAAGCCCTGCCTCAACGGTAAAAGCCTTGGCATGCTCGGAAAGAGGCGGAACTCCGCTTAGAAGGACCAGGATTTGCTGAAACAGGGTAACCGGGTCCGTCACAAAAGAGGCAAGCGGAATAAGTAACTGAATATACAAGTACGAACGCTACAAAGCAGGTTGTGGGAGGGTTAACTAACCTGAGTCGAGAGAAGTTCGACAGCAAAGTGCGTCAACAGCTCGTCTTCACAAGGAAAGCACTTGGAACAGATTAAACGGGATAACTGTCGATTGTACTTCAATTCATTCTTGGGAAAACGAGCTTTCGTTGTTTATATTGTGGACTAATTATTTGTTAAAAAACTACGAACAGACCAGCAAAGTGAAGGGAACTCCGGCCTTCCTGCGAATTATAGTACTGCTCGAGGGTGATGCCAGAGTGCATTATTCTAAAAACAAATAAATTTTGACTTTTGGTGGAAGCGACGAGAAAGAAAAGGCTCAAAGTCTTAAAGTTCATTTAATATTAGCATATACTCTCGGAGTTCTTGAACTTGAATAAGAGAAGCTTTGAGCAAAAGTTCCAGCAACACGGCTGGAATGTCGTGCCTACAACTCTTATAATAAGATTAAAAAGTAAGCAACTTTTTAAGGGTGAACCCGAAAATTTAAGCTTACCTTAATTGTAAGAATAAAGTTAAAACAAAATGCATCAAGTACATGCTTAACCTCTTCCGTTAGTACTCGGTCGCAGGTAAGATGGGAATACCTTTAAAGTATAATAACTTGATGTCAAACTTGAAAGCAGTGCGTATACTAACCAACTTTTAATAAAGTCCCGAACTAAAAAGTCTCTCAATTTAAACAAAAGTTTCTCAATTTTAAGAGGGAAGTTTTCCTCCCCCCTCTCTTTTTTAAGCTACTTGGTGTAAGTTACAGTTTAGTGATTAGAAGGATGCCATATACACTGTTACAAAAGTTTTTCGGGAAAAGTTAAATTTTAGCCCCTCTAAAGTTTGAAGTTTCGCTTATATAAATTTAAAAATTTTAAGTTTCCATTTTAAAAAGCTTTAATAAACAAGATTATACCTACATATGGGTAGTTTTTTGGCTTAAACTTCGAATAAATAAGGCCCAAAACAAAACAAAAGAAGAAAAGTAAAAAATTTAACTCATATAAAGGATCTAAAAGGTAAAGCTTCAAAGTAGTAAAAAATAAAGAAGCAAGAAGTGGGATGATGATAGAGTTAAAAGCATAGCTAAATAGCGCACTGAACATATATTTTCCCTGAGCAAAAAATACAAAGTAGAAGAATTAGACTTTCCAAACACTACGGAATTGCAACCTTTAGTAGAGTGTGAACTCTACCGAGCAGTTCTGAAACGCTATTGGCATAAACTCGAGCCATTGCACCTACTAAATAACGTTCACTAGTGCTAAATATTAATAGCCTCAGGAGATAGTAAGTTTACGCGCTGCACATTTTATTTAAAAAGTTCACAGTTTCCCAAAAGTAGTTCCAAGGAAAATTTTTTATTGGTTGGTATTAGGTCGTTTGCCGAAGAAACCAATTTAATCGCAAAATCTTTTAAAAGAGATGAGTGGACAATAGTTTTTTTAGGTTTGGATGTTCGACCAGTTGTGTATTAAAAAGAGAAGCAATGTAACATACTATCTGTAAAGCAATATGTTACGGATAGAAGATTAATGAGGGACTTAGAAACTCTTTAAAAAAAATTAGATAATTTCCTTTCTTAAAGAATAACTTTTACTAACATTAAATAATTATGTTCACCAAGTGTACTTGCCACTACTAAATTTTTTAGATTAGGGAATATTAATCCTAATATGTTTACAAATCTTGTATTACCAAATAAACATAGTTGTCTAGCGCACAAGCAGGTTTTAACATATTTGGTAATAGCAATTTTTAGCACAGTCACCGATAACTTGGTTTAAACATTTGATTTGCGTCACCGATTCACGTTTGCTACTCTTGCTAACTCTAAGATGTCGAATCCCAAATGTCCAAGATGCCAGAGTAACGTCTACTCTGCTGAGGAGATTTTAGGTTTAACAGTATATATCGTTCATAATCAATGCACTTGTAGTTGGCCTGTAAGCTTTTCTTGCTTTTATACACCTCTTTAGGCGCTGGACAGAAATGGCATAAATCATGTTTTAAGTGCAAAATATGTGACACGAAGTTAGGTAACCAGCTGTAACTTAGCTTTTATATATTGTTGTAAATATCACTTATTTTAAGCTTTAAAAGACTTTTTTTAATTTACGATAGTATGCCTACGTAGGTAACCATGTTATCTGGGCCCACGAGTAATCAATTTTCAAACTAATTTAAGATCTTGTACTTCTGCCCTTTAAATACATATATGCTTTAACTTTTCTGAGAGCTATTTTTTTTATGGAATTATATTCTTATTGAATTGGTTTAGTATAGTTTTTTTCTACATAGATATTTTTATATTAAATTTTTGGCTGTCAAAGTGTGCTCTCTGTTTCAATTTAAGTTTTTCATATAATTATCTTGAACTTGTAGTTTTAAAACTGGTTTATATATGTATATATTACTAGTTATAAATAATATTGATAAATTATTATTCTTTTCACTGTTTTTGACTGAACAAGTAGATTCTACCAACTTTTCGGACCGTAATGGAGAAATTTATTGTAAAATATGTTACGGGCGTGAGTTTGGGCCCAAGGGATATGGCTACGGGCAGGGAGCTGGCACTTTAAGCATGGAAGGAAGCCGTCAAGACCAGCAGGAAAATTATGCGGCAGGTTCTATACTTAGATAAGTGGATCAACCAGCCTTTATACTATACTTTGCTAATGTTTGACTTGAAATGAAAATATGTTAGTAAGGCCTTCTTTAAGAGCCTTTTCTTAAATTTAACCTTAAAACTACAATTGCTTCAAGATTTAATATTTGCCCACTGCTTCTTGAAAAGATCTAAACCAAACAGATTTATATTTATATATATATATTTTTTTTAAGGGTAATAGTAATCGGCAAAAGCGTAATTCAAGGTTATTGTAGCATAATACTTTATTTAATTGTAATTTAAGCAAAGTACGTGATTAGACACTTATATGATTATTTGCAATATAAAAGAGCAACGCCGTTAAGAGAATAACTAATTTTTTGTAGCCACCAAATCAGAATGCTTGACTTCTACGGACAGCCAACGTCAACAATCTAAACAAACCCAGTCATCTACGCCAAGAGATCTTTCTCAGTATAAGGGGAAGGATGTCTGTCCTGCATGTGACAAGAAAGTCTACCACGCTGAAAAGGTGGCATTTTCTAAAGCATATTGACTGTTTTTTTCCTTCCCTTCGTTTTTTAGGTGGTTGGCGCTGGTTGCTCATACCACAGAAGTTGTTTTAAGTGTTACTCGTGTTCTAAGCCTCTCGACTCCACCACCGTGACCGACAGGGACGGAGCTATTTATTGTAAGGGATGCTATGCTAAAAACTTTGGGCCTAAAGGATATGGTTACGGTGTCGGCTCAGGCGCCCTTCACTTGACCAAATAAATAATATAAACTTTAACTTTTAATTTTTGCCAAATATTTTGAGGACAAATTTCGCTTTTAACAGATTACTATTTTATAATTATGTCCTTTAAATGCACTAATAATCAGCTGAACTGTTTTTTGAGCAGTTTATATAAAAATTATTATGGCATAGTAAGTAATAAATATTTTTATTTAAACTTATGTACACTGCCTATATGGAAGCCTTCAAAACAGTTTATATATTAAAGGTTTTTAGGTTAGCGGATACAATATTTCCCTGTTATTGCTATTATATAACCACACACCAAAAGCTTGACACAATAAAGTACCCAAGGCCCCTCAAAGGCAGCCCGTTCTAAGCATATATATCTTAGACTATATATATTTATATTAGAAGGCGTTCACTATTTGTGGAACTAAACATTATAAAGGAGCCAATTTTTTATTATTACCTTTATAGTTTGGGAATATAGTATAAATAGAAGTCAAAGCTCTTGTTTAATGTTTATAACATATGTCGGTTTGTTATTACCTTAAAGAGGCCGTGTACCAATCGTTTTGTCCCGTGCGTAGTCAGCTTAAAGCACCTTTCAGCTGTTTGACGGTGTTTTATCTAAGGGGTCGATTGCACGCTCGCCACAACCAGCTTAAACAAAAATTGTATAAGCTACGTCTTTGCATGCTCAAAAGTAGTTTTGTAATGACTTACTCAGTTGTGAAGAGAGGATCTGAGAACACTGCAGACTACCGCCTTTTTTTTAGTATTACTAAACTTTATTCCTAACTTTTTGCCTACCCTCTCGAATTCCTTCCACTTGCTTTAACTTCTTTTTTCCCTTCGCTTAATTCGGTGTAAATTTATGTTGGGTTGGTCACAAACAAAACTTTACTCCAATTATAGAAAATGGGAATGGTGAAATTATATCTCCTTGGCACGACATTCCTCTTCGCGTCCCAGGCAAAAATAATACATTCAACGCCGTTGTTGAAATTCCTAGGTTTACAAACCACAAAATGGAGGTCTTTTTAACTTAAATTCCATTGTTAAAAAAAGTTTGCATGGTAATATCTTTAGTGTTGCAATAATGAAAGCTTGACTTGTTTTTTAGTCGCTAACTTTATAACACACTAAAGCTTATATATTTGTATTATAGTTGTTAAAGATCTTAGCTAGTATGATATTTATATTTAAATAGTTTATAATGTTTTTGGAGCATTTTTGTTGCTAATTATATTATAATTAATATAACAGTAGCCTCTTATATGTACTTTTCTGTTTTCTAAATTTATACAAGTTTTTTATCTTGGCTTAGATTTCCACTAAGGATCCCGGCAATCCTATCAAACAGGACACCAAAAATGGCATCCTTCGATTTGTTAAAAATCACTTACCTTATCATGGTAATATCTTTTTGGGAGTCTCAAAATATTAATTTTATCAAATTTTTATTTTGCTCATAGGCTACCTCTGGAATTACGGAGCTCTTCCGCAGACGTGGGAGAATCCAACTCATGTGGATAGTCGGACCAACGCAAAAGGTATCTTATTTTTTTCATTGCATTTCGGTTGCTCAGCTGCTTTTTCTCAGGTGATAATGATCCTCTGGATATCTGTGAGATTGGACAGCGCATCGCTTCCAGAGGAGAGGTCCTTCAAGTTAAGATTTTGGGCGCTTTCGCCTTGATAGACGAAGGAGAGACAGACTGGAAGATTATATGCGTAAACACAGCTGATCCTATGGCCGCGCGATTGGATGGTGCCTAACTTAGTAAACACTCCTTGCCCGTTTTCTGTTAGTAAACTTTCGCATAGACTTAGAAGATGTGGAAAAGTATATGCCAGGCATTGTAGAAGCCACTCGAGATTGGTTTGCTACCTACAAAGTTAACGACGGCAAACCCGTTAATCAGTTTGCCTTTGGATGCAAGCCACTACACCGAGTAAATTAATCGTTTTAAAATGGTCAATGTTGTATAACTTTTTTTTTGTGACTTAGGAGTTTGCCTTGTCCGTCATCGACGAAGCTCACGCCTTTTATAAAAAGCTGATTAGTGATCGCTCTAATAAAGTGCTTTCGTATGGTTTGAACTCCAGAGATTATAGATCGGCTTTTGAGCAGACACCGCCTTCGGGATCTCCTGCGGCACTTCCAGAGGATGGTAAGAGCTTGTTTCCGATTTATTTCTACAAGTTAATTTCTATATACCTAGTTGATAAAATATGGTTTGGGCACTTACGGCCTCCTCACTAAAAGAAGCAGTGCCCTCTTTACCTGTTCAATAAATAGTCACCTTCGCTTTTCTTAATTAAACTATATAACGAAAAACTAAAAATATTTTTAAGTTTACTGGAAGTAGGAGAGTTTTAATTAATCTTTTTAATAAACTATCAGCTACGAGAAAGCCAGTTATTTAGAAATTGCGGTTGATAAAACTTGGCTGTAGTTTTTATGAAATAAAAAGCTTAACGCAAAAGGGGGCGTTCTATTAACCACATTAAAAATAAAGAATCAGTCGTGTAGAAGTTTCGAAAGCTGCTTTATACTCGTTAACTCGGTGACAACAACTTTCTGTCTGTTTTTCCTTCGCAATAATATTTAAGTTTGGCTTTTTTATAGCGTCAGTGCTTTATAGAAATACTTAGTTTTTGTTTGAAAGAATGTTATTTTAGCTTTCAACTTCAAATATATATATCTGATGGTCGATATTTCGTTTTTATATTAAAAGCTACACTTTTTCAAGGGAAGAGGGAAGAGAAATAGTGTAAAAACACAAAAGTTTAACTTTTAAACGCAAATTATCCATTTAAATCTAATAAAGTTGAAAGACTTTAAACAACATAAATGCAAACAGTATAGAGGAATACCTAAATAAATATTAATGTAAACATACAGATTTCGAAGGAGGCTCAAGATTAATCAGAACAAAAGGAATTTAATATTAATTTTTTTGAAGACTATTTCTTAAGCGTAGCGTGCCGTCTCTTTCCTTGTATAGTATTTTAACTTGGTCAGGTAACAATATAAAGATCTTCGTTTTACGTGGTTACTTTCGTTGTCTAAAGAGGCTTACATATGGGAAAGACGTGGTGTGCATCCAAAATACTAAAATAATACAATAACACGCGAAGCTGTTAACTCAGTTTACTTTTTGAACAGTTATCTAAATAATGTTAATACATCAATACAAACTATTGCTCTTCTTAGACTGTAAACGAGGTAGAAGTAGATCTTATAATAGGCTTTAAGGTTACACGTTAACGAAGTAAAAAAGTTAACAAATAATTTTTTTTTGGTGTTTGGTGTATTACGAATGTGCGAGAAACCTTCCATATAACAAAATCAAGTCGCAGTTGAAAATCTATTCATAATATAATAAAGTATCAAGCATGGTACTTACTTAACATTTACTGGTATTTAAATGTTCTTATAAAGATATGAAGTACCCCTCACCGCCTTTTTTAGGTTTACATAAGACCGGGATACCCCAGTAAAACATTCAGCATAATACTGAAAAGAAATAAAAGAGAAAGCAAGAGAACATACGTAAAAGGCAGTAAATATCGTAAATTTTTTGTTATTGACGGCAAGTTATGAAGCTATAACAACAGAGTTTAATAATAATAAAAAAGCAAAGAGATAAAAATGTACTCAAAGGCTAAAAGAACAACAGTTCAGAAGCTCTACAGAGGCAAAAACCCATCTTAATATTGCTTGTACGTATAATGAACTCCAGCTACGAAGCAAAAAGCTAGTTATTTTTTACTACACATCAATGTTATAGATGAAAAGAGATAATTTTTAATTTACTCTTCAAATAATAAAACTAATTATTTAAAAATTAGCGAAGCAAACACGTACAATCCAACTTATCCTTTTTAACTCGGACCTTCATGATTACGCTTATAAGCAACTGTAAGGAATGCACTAACTTAGATGCTAGCCTGCATCTATTCATATGAAAGGGGTCATAACTACCAATTTCCGAATAATCTTACTTGCTACTACCTAAGCACAGGGTCTATGCCAGGTGGTGCGCAAAAAAGAAGTGCGCTTTAACGGCTTAGCAAGCAGACATGTCTTAATAGTACATAGAGATATACAAGTTATGCACAAGACAAATAGTAACAGTCAAAAAATAAAAAATTCATCAAGGAAACTGCTGCAGACAACATATTGCGAGGCTCTATTAGAGGGCAAGCACTTATAACACAATTATTATAAAAAAATCTTCATCTCCTCCCCAGAAAGGTAGAAGTTTAACAAGTACTTCTCCAGAATTTTATATTACTAATTTTTTTGCAGATGCAGAGCATCCAATAAGGCGAAGCTCTCAGAAGCTGTCTAGTTACGGTTGCGCTCTGCTGACTTCACTGCAGCACCCAGTAGCGAGCTCAGTAAGATAGAAGGCAGTCTACCCAAACAAGTACCTCAGCAGGCTCCCAAGGGAAGTTAAAGTGGATGCTTCCCCTAGACTAGAACAGATCTCCAATATATAAGCCAGTCTACGGCTGGAAGGCGTGGTCATCGATTTAAAATAACTTATAAAGTAGGGAAAGGTTTTATGAAGTGCACACTTGACAGGAAGATCTGAAGTCTCAGAAACAAGTTGCAGCGCTTTTTTAAAATCACCTCGCCTGGCAAATTTCACGACGAACGAATCCTTATGATTAAATAAATTATAAAAAATTAATAAAGAAGAGTGTATAAGAACGCGAAATAACGGAGTTCTAAATTCTGCGAGTAGCGATAAGGCCAGTTCTTCCTCCAAGGAGGTCAGAGGCAACTCTATCAACTCGTAAAAACTTTCGGCTATCAATTAAGGTTTACAGAAGGGCGCCAATTTTATAAGGCCGAGGGGAGTACCGGGCAAGCTGAATCCAAAGCAGAAAAAAGACTTATAAAGATGCCTAACTTTATCGTCAGCGCCTGAGCGGCGTCGCAAGAATCGCAGTGCCTCAGCGAACTGCCGCAAAGTTTAAAAGCGTGTAGAGAAGGACGCGCAGTACTGCCCTCACCTGGTTGTTGGTCAAGAAGAGAAGGAGTGTTAGTTCCACTTGGCTTTCACTTAACTCCGAACTCTTGCACAAGTAGAATCTGAAGAAACTGAGTAAAAGAGGGCATACACTAGCCTATCGCACTGACCTGAAAAGGGCTGAAGTGAAACGTGGTTGGTCAAAGGGTCGTTCTTGAAATACTTCCAGTAAGATCGTGTAGAGCTGCGACGAGGGTATAAACGCGGGAAGATTGAACGAGGAAAGTGTGCAAACGCACTCCTATACAAGTTTAAGGCGGCTATAAAACTATTTTTTCTACTAAAAAAATTCACCAAACGCTAGCATAGAAGCTAAAAAGACGAAGCTAGCAACCCACCCCTTCGTCAGAGGAAAGGAAAAATAAGCCGACCGTGATAGCCGCAGAGCGATCCTCCCCAAAGGGTCCCATCATAGCGCTATCCAAGCGTCGGTAGACGTCAATGACTTTAGCGTACTTTGACTGCTCCAGTAACACCGAGTATAACTGTTTTATTCCAAGATGCAGTTGGTCGGCAGCTATAATATAACCATAAGTGGCGTGTCGAGCAAATATAAAAACTTTATTTTACCGAAAGAAGTTTCCAAGGCCAAACCACAGAGGTAGTAAAAAATCAAGTAACGATTAAAAAAGATGTTTTCATGCTCTAACAGAAATAATATGAAAAGGAATAACACAAGAAACAACAAAATAAAAACCCATCAGCAACTCGCCTACTTTACGGCGGAATTCAGCGGTGGCTTCTTCATTTCGCTCTATGAAAACCCTTCAAAAAGCATACAATTACAAAGACTGTGGAGTATTAGGTAAAAGTCAACCTTTCCGTGTTATTGAGGCTTGGCAAAAAGTCTGAATTCTGTTTGGCACTTCTAAGTTCTTGTTCCTAAATAGTTAACTAATTAGAAATAATATTATTGAGATAAAATTAAAGCTTCCTTTACCAATAAGGTTTCGGACAGCTTTAGGTTAAGATCTCTTAGTTTAGTAATGGCGGAGTTGTAAGTAAATGTGGTAGACTTATCTAAAACTTCTTCCGACTGCAAGAGGTGCTTATATTCAAAAGAACCAATTTCCAATAATTTATCAATATCAAAAGCTGCTAACTTAAAAAGTTCCACTAGACAGGGCCTTTTACTGGAATTTAAAGTTATAAAAATTTTGGTTAAAAAAATTATAGAGTACTGCTTAGAAAGATCAATATTAGGAAGATCGGGAAAATAATTTGCTTCCACGCTCTAAAAAATAAAATATGGCAAAGTAAACGACAATAAGTTGTTTATTGTAAAAAACCTGATAGGCAACCCAAGTAAAAACAATTCTTTCATATACAGATAAGAGGTAAGTTCTTGAAGATATTTTTTCTGACAAATACCAGTCATTTAAAGCTGCAAGCTTCAAATCTAATAACTCTTGGAGGCAGTACTTCACCATCACCACAACCACAACGACCACTGAAAGCCAGAGAGCTATAATACCAGCGAAAACGACTGCTGGTGAGCGAGAAACATCAAATTAGCTTTTCACTACAACCACCAACAGTGCGACACTAAAACGTAAATAAAAATTATTGTTAAAGGTAGGTGGACTTTGTTAGTCACAAGAGTTTCCTTTTCAGAGCTAAGCGTTTGTGGTACCTACATTATGCTATCGTTAATAGCTTTGTGTATAAGCCCACAGGATGTCACCAAACTTTGTCACATCCGTTAGCCTATTTTCTCCTTGTCAACTGATAGTTGATCAGTAATTATATCAAAAAAATCTAAAGACAGGGCATAGGGCTACTAACTCTACCAAAAAGGAGTTTTAAAAGCAATTAATATTTATTTTTTAAGAGAACGTGGAAAGTATATAACAGGTCTTTATTAACTAATTACTTTCCAGACTCGAGTTCACGGTAAAGCCCAAAGTGAAATACTCGGTCCTTCATCCTTCTATTTTAAGCTCTTTATAATGATTTTTCCTTCTTTTACGGGTATAAATGCACTTGGTCAGCTACAAACGAGCTTAAGTTTCGTTTATTCTCCTCACGATCAAGTTTCTCCCTATACCCTATTCTATTCTGTCTTTAAATATATATTTTTTTTTGTTCTGTTCATGTCGCTCTATTTTAAATAAACTTGTATATACACCCATTAAAACTTTTTTTTTGGTTGTGCAAGCCCTTCCATGTTCTGTTTTCGACAAGTGGTGGGTACCTTTTTTTTGATTTTTTTTGTACCGTTATAAGATTATAGTATACGCTTAATGTAATTTTTGTATAATAAACTTTTTATTTTTTTTTAACACGGCAATCTCTTACTGCTGCAGTTTTTAATGATACTGGAACAGCTCTTTGTAAGTAGGATATATAGTAGCGCCCTAGATATATGGTGCTTACGTTTTACGAGATAGAAGGGCCTCATAGGTCAGAGGTAAAAATTATATAACAAACATAAAGGTATTTGCGTATAAAAGTCAGCCTTATTAAGGGATACGGAGTGAACATAAAATGGCCCATAAACTGAAGAAAAATAACGAAATGGGACACAAAAAGGTTTAAAAGTCTTAATTTCCGTAACCAAAATTAAATGGGGTTAGTGGCAGATTTTTGATGTCTAATGTTGTGAATTGCAACAGGTTAAGTGGTAATAATACTGTGCAAAGAGATCCTTTTATTTCTAAGCCCTTTGCGCTCTTGAATAGCCCGCTAACTTATATTTTACATTACTCGCATGTATGGGCTTAGCCAGCTACAGAAAAGCTTGCGTTTCGCTTATCCTTTATGTTCGGGTGTCGTCCCTTCCCCTGTCCTTCTCCTTCTCCTTTTCTTGTTCTGGTTTTTATTCTCATCCTAATTTGCTCTCGGTCTTGTTCTGATTTGATTCTGGTTCAGATTCTTTTTATTTCTACTCTGTACTTATCAAAATATTTATATATATTAGCTGTTATTTACACTTATTCCTAGTTGGACAAAGCCCCTTCCATTTTAATTAAAGTAACTTCCTATAAAGTCGTTACTTGTATAGTTGAGAGCTGATATGCGAAAAGGTATTGATAGTACTTAAAACATTGATAAAAAAAATTAATATTCTAAAATTTCGATTTTTTAAACATATACCGCTGGAGAAGTTTTTAACAAACCTCAAATATATTCTGACCTGGCATCATTATCACAAAACAGTGAATTTGTGTTTTCTGCCAAGTTTGAAGAGGAGTAACTAAAGCTTTTTTGTAAATAGTTTCTTGAGCAGGCAAATATACTTAAACCAAAGTTGTATACATAATTTATCGACCGAAAGTATGAGTTGTAGTTAGAGCATTGTTGCGCAATATAAAGGTCGCGGGTTTGATTCCCGCCTGTGCCAGCTCGCTTCAATCTTGTTTGGTGGTTAAGTGTACAACTTCCCTATAACAAATTTCTAACTTAGAAGTAAAGCTGGTGGTCTGGTCAGCTGATGAAATCTATAACCAGTGATCTAAAGGGCTAAGATGTGTTCAGCTTTTTTAAATAACATAACGCTTTTATGACGGCAGCTATGGATAATTTATAATAGAAATCTTAACTGAGAATGTCCTTAGCAAAAGCAAAAAAAATTGTTGCGGTTTTTACCAATAAACGTAATTACTAAGGCTAACGTGAGGTTAATAAATGGACAAGCTAAGAAATAAACCCATAGCTTTGAAAAACATATATAATTAAAAATATTTACTGACTCAAGTTGGCAGTCAAATTAACTTCTATTTTATGTTATAGGCAAAAAATGTGCTTTCGTACTGTATTTGCAGCTATTATTGAAGTAAACAAAAAGGACTACACAAATATTGGAACAATGGGACGGATGCCATAAGTTTTATAGAAAAAATTATGAGTATAAGTTTAGAGCAAAAATAGTTTATACAGAACTAAGATATTAAAGGAGCTCATGCACAACTATATCAAAGCTGTGCACAGGCAGTAAGAGAACTTAGGAAAAGGCCGTATTTAAAAACATAGAAATTAGATGTAGAAACAAAAGTAACTTGAAAAGAAAACAAACAAGAAGCCTTGTAGATGAAGACTCGCGTCGCTTCGGTAAAGTTAATCAGAACTTCACATCTAAGCACGTGGTAAATAAAGTTTATTTTTAGAAATTACTTAGTGAAATAAAACCTTTATACTCACGGAAACTTAATAATTATTAATGTAGTTTTTTTTATGGCAAAAAAAATTTCCTATAAAAATAAAAGTGATATGCATCATACTCTTCCTTTAAACAGTAACGTTGTTAGGAGTACAATAATAAAAACAGCTTCAGATACTTTCTCTATGTTTATTATAATCGTGATCATGCCTCTGCAATAATACTGGTTACACGTTCATTAGAAATACGTGAAGTCTTAAACTAAGAGTATTTATTCATAAAATTATTTCAGCCCCTGGCAAAATGTAGCGGCCACCCTCTAGGTGTCTATGTCCAGTTTTCTAAGTCTTCTTCCCCTGGTGAAAGCTAACAGGGTTTAGAATTAAAAAGAATCAAAAAGGTAAATAAAAATAATAAGTGAATACAAAATAAAGAGTAATAATAATAAAATGGATATATCAAAAAAGAAAAAAGAGAAGAACTTTAGAATTCCCCCTTAATCTTTATTTTTATTTTTATTTTTTAATTACCTGGTACTACAGCCAGGCCTTGTAAAGGGGTCTAAAAAACTGCTTAATCTGATCCAAGCGGGCATGAATGCCCAGCCGGAAGGGCTTGCACTATCATGCCTGTCCCGGAGGATTGAAAAAACGGAAAATATCGGGTCCGGGCTCCACCCATTCGGCCTAGTGTGATGGGAAACCGCTAAAAACCGCTAAAAACCACCACCGGGAGAAAGCAGTCTAATGGCAAAGGACTTAAGGTCACCTGGTGGCACCACTGCCATCCAGGCCTCCCCTCTTTATCTTTACTTAATAGAGTTAAATGTATTTATTTTTTTAATGACAGTCCCTGGTGCCCGACCGAGTTAAAAACTTCAAATACTCGAGCTCTTTAAAGGAGTGATCGCAGTTACGTTAAATATATATATATATATTCAATTAAGATAAACCTATGCTAAAGATATAGTTTACTTTAACCGGATGTAATTTCAAATATGAAATATATAGATATATTTCATTAGTTCTGCCTTAAGTATAACTTGATAAAGGTTACTGCCGTTTCCTTCCCTTTTTTGCCGAGCTTCTAAATGATGACAATAAGAAATTAAGGTCTACGTTTTTGTAGAAACTTTATCCCCTCATTGCATGGCCTCCGCTCCTTTAGCAATACTACGGAATACTACGTGCTTAACCAATATTATCTTTCTTTTTCAAAGTTCTATTATCTCCTAATCCTCATGTGTTACGATTGAAAAGAATGCTCAAAGTGAAAATAAAATTATTATAATAAAAAGTAAGGGCCTTGATATAATATTAAGTGTGGCGCTATAAAATCGAGTGACAATAGTGCCCTTTTTAAATGTGCTCTATCTATTATCTATAAAGTTTACTTCCCTATAAGAATTAGAAGTTATTTTTTACCAAAAAGTTACCATAGTAGCAGCTACGCTAAAGACTAATCAATTAGTTAACTTTCCTTGCCTCGACATAAAATCAGAAGATTTATTACTCTTCAGATCACCAAAACTTGTAAGTTCTGTATACCTTGTTTCCTCACACCAATTAATTTCAATAGGGTCTCCACAATAGCAGATAATAAGAATTGTGGAGAGCAAATAGAAACCTTTTTTAACTGAAATTAACTTTTATTAATATCGAAAAAGCTTCTAACATTTCTGGCAAGAATAACTTTTTGTTGATTACTTACAAGTTACCGTTCAACTTTAACGTTAATTCTCTAGGGCTCCAGATGGTTTCGATCTATGGGCGACACGAGAGTACCATCCTATGGTGGAATGACATTTGAAAGTAATTTATCTTTAGTCGGGTCATGTCACCCTCTACGACTGAAACAGGTCTTACTTAACTCTTTGGCTAATGTTGCTGAAACATAGGTTATTGTAATGTTTAAAACGCCTTAAAGTTTTTGATAACGGCACCTTCCTGATTGAAGCTCTAAGTTGTGAGTTAACTGTTGCTTAGAAGAGACGTAGTTTGCAATAACTAACTGATTAGAGCTTCGGTTCGGGTTACGTCAGGGACGCACGATTCGAAAGAATTGCTTTTTAAAAAATGGTAAAAACTTTTCGTTGCATAAAGTCCTCAGGCAAGTGTTATCTTCCTTGAATAGAAGGGTGCAAATTATAGCTATCAGCATGCCTTGCGGCTGGTGCCTTCTTGTTCGTTAGCTA